TTCATTTTTCATGGTTGAGTAATAGTCCATTGTATATATGCACCACATCTTCTTAATCCAGTCATCTAGCAATGTACACTTAGGTTGCTTCCATATCCTGGTTATTGTAAATAGTGCTGTAATGAACATAGATGTGTAGGTGTGTCTTTTCAAATTAGTGTTTTTTCTTTTGGTAAACACCCAGAAGTGGAATTACTGGGTTCTGTGGTATGTCTATTTTTAACTTTTTGAGGAATTTCCACACTGTTTTCCATACTGGCTGTACCAGTTTGCGTTCTGACCAACAGTACACAAATGCTCCCTTTTCTCCACATCCTCATCAACATGTCTCATTTCTTGTCTTGTTGATACTAGCCATTCTGACTGGTGTGAGGTGATACCTCATTGTGGTTTTGATTTGCATTTCCCTGGTGATCAGTGACTTGGGGCATCTCTTCATGTGTCTCTTGGCCATGTTTGCCCTCTGTGAAACAATGTCTAGTTAGGTCCTTTGACTATTTCTTAATCAACAATATGTTTTTTTGGTGTTGACTTGAATGAGTTCTTTATATATTTTGGATATTGGCCCTTTATCAGATATATCATTTGCAAATATGTTCTCCTTCACAATAGGTTACCTTTTACTTTTGTTGATGGTTCCTTTGCTGTGCAGAAGCTGTTTATAGTTTGATGTAGTCCTACTTGTTTATTTTTGTTTTTGTTTCCTTCACCTGGTGAGTGAAACATATCCAGAAAAAATTGCTAAGGTTGATATCCAAGAGTTTACTGCCTATGCTTTCTTTTAGGAATTTTTTGGTTTCAGGTCTTACATTTAGCTATTTAATTCTATTTGAGTTTTTAAAAAAATATGGCTTAAGACAGTGGTTTTCTCTTGCATGTAGCTGCCCAGTTTTCCTAACACCATTTATTGAAAAGACTGTCTTTTCCCCACTGTATATTCTTGCCTCCTTTGTCATACATTAATTGGCCATATAAGCTTTATTTATTTATTTCTGGGCTTTCTATTCTGTTTCTTTGATCAATGTATCTCTTTTTGTGCTAGTACCATTCTGTTTTGAATACTGTAGCTTTGTAGTATAGTCTGGAGTCAGGGAGTATGGTGTCTCCAGCTTTGTTTTTCTTAAGATTGCTTTGGTTCTTTGAGCTCTTTTATAGTTCCAAACAAATTTTAGGATTATTTGTCCTAGATCTGTGAACAATGGCATTGGTATTTTGATAGGAATTGCATTGCACCTGTAGATTGCTCTGGATAGTATGGCTATTTTAACAACATTCTTTTAATCCATGAGCATACTTTGTTTACTTATTTGCATCATCTTCAGTTTCTTTCATCAGTGTCATAGTTTTCAGAGCACAGGTCTTTTATCTCCTTGGATAAGTTTATTCCTAGGTATTTTATTGTCTTTGATGCAGTTGTAAATGGGATTGTTTAAATTTTTCTGTCAGCTCATTGTTAGTGTATGAAAATGCAACCAATTTCTGTAAGTTAATTTTTATCTGTGACTGTATTGACTCACTTATTTGTTTTAATAGTTGTTTGGTGGAGACTTTAGTATTTTCCTGCTTCACTTGTGGAAGATTGTGTTTCTGTGAATTTATGTGTTTTACTTACGTTGTCAACTTGGTGGCGTATTATTTTTTATAGTAATCTCTTACATTCCTTTTTACTAAATTGTGTCCATTGTAACTTCTCTTCTTTCATTTCTGACTTTGAGTTTTCTTTTTTTTTTCCCCCCCTCAGTGAGTCTGGCTAAAGATTCATCAATTTTATTTTAACTTTTCAAAGAACCAGTTCTTAGTTTCTTCGATTTTTCTTTTAGTCTATTTACTTTCTTTCTGCTCTGATCTTTATTATTTCCTTCCTTCTACTAACTTTGGTCTTTGTTCTTCTTTTCTAGTTCCTTTTGGTGTAAGGTTGGATTTTTAAAATTTTTGTAATTAAAAAATTTTTTAGTTTAAAACCTTTTTTG